GTGGCTGACTCTTAACTTTTATAAAGAATATCTCTTTGGATTTGAGACTTTAGTCTTTGCAACTTTACAGATCTTCTTTATGCACCAAGAGCTTGTAACACTCCAAAGAGAAAGGAAAACTTGAAATCGCATCATATGACCCCTTTAATACAACTCAGATTGTATCCGTCTGAAAGAAGAAAGTCATATACATATAGGATGGCTTGAGGGTAAGTAAATCATGGGGTAATTTTCATTTTTGGGTGAATTAACCCTTTAAGACATCTATGCTGGGCCAATCACCATCTGCATTTTGACGCAGATGGTGCATTTACTCAAATTGTAGGGCATTTGAAAATGAACGATTTCAATTAAAAGAGGAATAAAAATCTGCTGGCATAAATTATCTTACCATGCAGAGTATATTAAATAGTTCTTATAAAACACATAAAGCTCTTATAAATTTCTTGGAAAAAACGAAATTATATGATAAAATATAGATTGTTTTTTTCCCCCTTGATATCAGTGCCTCACACTCCATCTTAGTAGGCGGCGGAATATGCACCATTGTCACGAATCCGGTCCATAAACTTCCATCTGTTTGCCATCAGAGGTCACCCTTCTCCCATTACATTGACTCTCACACCACACAGACTGTTACACATCACCCTGGACTGCATTTCCCATCAACCATTGCACTGATTACATGCACACAGCTGAATGCACTGATCACACACACACACACACACACAACTGAATCCAATCAGACATGCTACATAAGCCATGGACTTCCTCTCTTTCACTGCCGAGTATTGTCTAGCGTTTTCCACTCTCCTAGTGTTAGCTGCTATACGGAGCCTGTTTATTGTCTTAGTTTTGTCTTTTTCTTAGTGTTTAGTTTAGTCTAGTCTTGCCTTGCCTGTTTTCCCGTGTATATATCGCTGCCTTTGTTTTTGGATTGCCCTGTCGTTTCTAGCGTTTTCCACTCTCCTAGTGTTAGCTGCTATACGGAGCCTGTTTATTGTCTTAGTTTTGTCTTTTTCTTAGTGTTTAGTTTAGTTTAGTCTAGTCTTGCCTTGCCTGTTTTCCCGTGTATATATCGCTGCCTTTGTTTTTGGATTGCCCTGTCGTTTTGCTATTTGGACTCTGTTTGCCCATGCCTGGACCTTTTCCTGTGTTCCTGGATTTATCCCTCTAGTCTCGCCCTTTTGATTCTGTTCGCCGATCGTTGACCTTCGCTAGCCCTAGGATTATTCTTGTGTCTTGCCCGCCATATACGTGTTTGCCATTGTTTGACCCTGCCTGTGTTTCTGACCTCTCTGCTGTAAATAAAGCTTGCACATGGTTCCTCACGTCTCGTCAGCCCCGTTACAACCATATGCATATGCACCAAACTGGTTTGCCAACTGCCATAAAAAAATCAGAAGAAGACGACGCATTTATTCCGCGAACTGCGCATTTTTGTATTTACCGGTATAGTTGTTCCGGTAATTTTACGGCAATTTACTGGTATTACTGTGTGAAAGGGCCAAGTGTCTGCCCACTTTTTCAGCACCTCGGTTCCCGAAGTATTTTTCCCATAGGGGTTT